CTGAAACTGAAAACAATGGAACTATATGAAATACAAAATAAGGAAAAATATAAACAATATCTACATTTCCTTCCAGGTTCCAACTCTTGCACTTCCTAAAACACTAATTTTTTTGTCTAAACAAATATAAGCTGTCTAAATTCATATAAATTGTTTCCATGCATTGTGTCATGACTACAAGATTTTCAGCAGCTCTAGTTATAATCGAAAAGATGCCACAGCTATTTACTGAAATTATTTCTTAAGAAAATGTGTCAGTGATGTTAAAATATTAGCCGAGTCATAAGTTTGATGTTCTGTGTATTAAAACAAACAGTTGATTCCCTATTAGTTAAGAACATAAACCCTGGAGCCAGATTGCTGGGATCAAATCCTGGCTTCATCGTTTCTTTATGTGGCATTCTGTTTCTTCATCTGTAAAGGAGAAATAATAATGGTATCTTTCTCATATGAACACTGTGAAGATTAAATAGATTAATACATGCAAAGTGCTTAGAATAGTTTTGGGCACACAGTAAACACTGCACATGCTGGTTATTATTACTATTTTCAATAAATAGTTTTTAACTGCACAGAGACCCATTGTAAATTATTTCCGATTGAGTGTTTAACTTGCATGCATTATGGGAGAAAAAAGAGAAATAAACAACAGTCATCAGATGGTGATACAGTAATACTCCCTTATAACAGATTTTAGATGAAAAGAATGCTTATTCTTTGCCAACATTTCATCAGCATCAGAATAGCCACATAATCAGGTTTAACCAAAGTAAATGCATTTAACCTTGACTCCCCTCTAGGATTAAAAAAAAAAAAAAAAACCTGGATGATTTCAGATTTAATAAATGAGGATTTTTCAGTTTTTGTGACTTTTGATAAGAAGCTCAGAGTACTTTACAAATATTCTAATTCACGTTTGACATATTCAGTGAAATAAGTTGCAATCACTGTTTCTTCTTTTTAAATATATATCATTTAGAGCAATTTAGCAGGCTGAGACTATAGAAGATTTACAAGTGTAGAAACATCCACACTGTCATTCAAATGGTTTGCTAAGTCTTTTAATATTTATGATAATGTCCCATGAAGTATGCTTCTATTTTTAAGAATTATTAAAATCTGTCTTAAAAATAGTCTATTAAAAAGAAATAAATCTAATTTAACTACTCTTAGAATAGTACTTTTTGACCAAACAAAAAATAAACATTACAGAACATGGTTTGACAGTGGATGGAACTCAAGAATAAGGAGGAAAGAGGCCATGACTCTGTATTGGTTCTTTCACTAACCAATATGACCCCTGGGTGGCACTTAACTGTCCTTGAAGTCAGGACCTGCATAAGTAATATGAAAAGGTTGGTCTAGTGAGTAGAACCTGTGGGTTGAAGGATCCTTAAGTGAAACTCATCCATCCATGTAATTCTTCTTGTATGTTTCCAGTAGTAGAAAACTCACTATATCCTAAGGTGCTTGAGCCATCTACAGATATTTTTAACTGTTAAAAGGGTTATTCCTTAGCCACATTCTGGGTCTTCCTATTTATCTAAGCTCCCCAGCTTGTCAAACAGTCTATAATTTCAAATGTAGAATACAATGGATCCCCACAACAGCAAACTTTCTAAATGATGAAAGAGAACTTTAAATAAAAGCAGAAGGGTGCTATTCTCTGTCCCATTATGTTTACCATTATTAGACTGGAGCAAAAATAGTAGGAGGGGGTCAAAGAAATTTAGAATGCTCCCTATGCCTTCAACTTGAGCAAGTCCCCCAAGTGATCATTTTCTTAGAAAAAGTTCTGCTGTTCAATGGTTCAAATTCCATGCCTGCTAGATTTCTCTTCCAGCACCTCAGGCAGTTCAAGCCAAGAACAACCTTCTACTCCAAAAAGGAAGAAGTAAGTGTGGTTGAATTAAATCCATGACCTTCAGCTCCACAGAGCAGTGCTAGTTAATGTGTGGTGGTCAACACAAACGTGTTGACTCAGGGAACATTGTGTTACTAAGCTGTGATGAGATAAAAGAAATTGAGAGTAAGACTTTAGAAGATCTGTGGCTCTTGGATATTGTGGTGGCACCAAGAACATGATTAATGAGGGACTTTCCTGGTGGTGCAATGGTTAAGAATCTGCCTGCCAATGCAGGGGACATGGGTTTAATCCCTGACCCTGGAAGACCCCACATGCTGCAGAGCAAATAAGCCCGTGTGCCACAACTACTGAGCCTGTGCTCTAGACCCTGTGAGCCACAACTACTGAAGCCCTCATGCTCTAGGGCCCACATGCCACAACTACAGAGCCCAAGTGCTGCAACTACTGAAGCCCACGTGCCTAGAGCCTGTGCTCCACAACAAAAGAATCCACTGCAATGAGAAGCCCGTGCACTACAATGAAGAGTAACCCCCACTCGCCACAACTAGAGAAAGCCCATGCACAGCAACAAAGGCCCAACACAGCCAAAAATAAAATAATAAAAAAAAATTAAAAAGAAAAAGAACATGATTAATGGATACGGTTCCAAGAATGTAGACCACTTTGAGGGCTGTCAAGTGCCAACATGGTGAGCCGCGTCTGGTATGAGTGCATACTAATCCCACTTGGTAGCACCACAGATAGGTCTGCCATGCATGTAGATAGGTCTGCCATGGAATGAAAAATGCACAGTCCTTCACTGCAGGTAACTTGAGAACCACACCTGATTAGGCTCAACAGCAGATGTGAAGGTTTTGAGTTGAATCTTATCATCCTTTTCCACAACCTTCAATTCCTGGATTCCTAAAAGCACTCCTCCCACTTTGTTTCCCATAAATGAACGTGATCATTTACTTTGTTTTGTCCTCAACTCCCAAAGACCAAAAAATACAGTTTTCTAACTATTTACAAAATTCATTTTTAATAAAATTTAAATACAGTGGAAAAAATAGATGTTTTATGGATTTTTTATATGAAAGCTAACTCCTAGCTGGATTAACATGATACCAAGTAGCAAACAACCTCAGGGCATGAGTTCATGAATATAAGCTATATTGTCACAGGTAGATCAAATAAGACTAAGATCATTCTCAGAAGAATTTTGGCAAGATTGACATTCACCTACCCAAAATCAGCATAGTATAGTGGAAAGAGCATTGAATTAGATGTCAGGGGTCCAGAGGTCCAGTATTAGCTCTGATACTAACCAGTTTTGTGATTTTCATGAACTCTCCAAATCTTCTGTACCAAAATTTCCCCCTCTGTGTAAACAGCATGAATGAGCCAATTTCTAAAGTTTCCACCAACCATAAAATTTCATAATTCTAAGAAAATTATTTTCCCTTAAGGTAGTTTCCTGATAGAAGAATAATTTTCCCAGCAGTGCGTTTACTGCCAAAAGACAGACTGACCTCCGTGCACTTGTACAAGTAGCTCTTTATTATAAATTTAGCATTAGCAGACTCTTCCAGGCTAAAATTACCCAACAAATGAGGCATTGAACCCTACCTCAAAAACATACCTTTTTAACGGAGACATGAACCTCAACTTTCAGATATCTGTGGGGGTGAGGAGTAATTCACAGGGGCCTAATCATGACAAAATGGTTTCCATAAAATACCAGTATCTATAAGGTAGTGTATATTGAATTGCTATTTGTCTCACAAGACCTTTCTCAAGGGGTTCTTCAAATACCTAACAATCCAAAATAAAGCTATCTGTCCTCCCTTAACTCATAAAGCCTACAGCGTTAACCCAGGTCTTAAATAGAGTTCGGAACTGAATGAGCCTTCAGGAACACTTGACCATGAATAACCACACTGTAGTTTATTCCACAGGTATTCCATTTATTGCTGTGGCCTCAAATCATGTTTTAAACTTCCTTGCACTCCTGAGATGATAAGCTCTGTGCCTTCCAAGGAAGCTCATGTGTGTGTGTGTGTGTGTGTGTGTGCGTGTGTACCACATACAACGCAAGAGCTGGAGTAGCTTGGAATTATCAGTAATTCTCATAATCTCTTCCATCTTCCAAATAAATGGAAGGGGAGTGTTGATGCAAATGAAGACAAATACAGAAAAAAATTGGAACAATATGGAAATTACAGAATTAAATGTAAACTATTTACAGATCACTATTCAAAAGAATAGAAAATTTATACCTAAGCAATATGAAAACTTAGGCAGTATATTTTAACAAAGAAAGTAAGATAATGAGATAGTGGAAGGTATAGACGCATATGTAATATATACCATATATATGGCTTATTACTGAATCAAGAAGCTGAAGAATAAAGGAAAAGACAAAATCATGAACACTTTCAAATGAAATTCAGTCCTCATTATCTAAAATATAACTGCAATTTAAAATTGAATGTATATTAAAAAAGGCTTATAAAAATACAGTAGGAAGAGTTTTTTGATCTGAATTTTAGTATGAAAAGAGCATTTGCACTCTAAGTTTTCTAGAAAAGATAAGAGTAATTGGCAGTTCTTTCATAAATAAAGCAGAGAAGGTATGTGATTTATCCCAAGGCTGTCCCCGGCAAAGGAATGTTGGATCAGGTATTAAAACTTACATACAAGAAAAAAGCAAAACAATGCCTACTGAAGTTAAGTCCTTGAAGGCAATGGAAAAATTGAGTAGAGTCTTGGGGTGATCTAGTCACCCCTTGGCCTAGTGGGCCTTGAGGACTTGTTCTTAAGTGACCAGAGTTCCTTAGGCAAATGTTGTCATTGATACTAATCTTCTTTCTTCCCTACTGAAATCAGCCAAAGGATCTTGAGGCCATGTCTTACATCAGTTGGGTAAGATCTCTTTCTCCTCTACAGCTGCCTCAGTGCCTCCAAAGGTTTTCCTATAGTGAATTGGGCTCCTTTCAACTACCAAACTGAAGTCCCAGGATCATCAATACCGGTTTCCTACCTAAAGAGAAAGAATCCTCCCTATGCTATTTGAACCCCAGGAGTTTTGAATAGCTTTAGGACATATTTTCTCAGCACTCTCTGCTGGTGGGTGTGCTTTCTTTCCCTGCAGAAATCGAAGATATCCACCTACGAGAAGATGTGGGCTTTTATGAGTAGCAGGCAGCAGACTGCCCTGGTCAAAAACAGTGATGAGGGCATCCAACGAGTGCTCACCACTGACTACGCCTTGCTGATGGAGTCCACCAACATTGAGTATGTGACGCAGAGAAACTGCAACCTCACTCAGATCGGGGGCCTCATTGACTCCAAAGGTTATGGAGTGGGAACACCTATAGGTAAGAGAGGCAAGGCAGTAGCAAAGACTGAGATGGGCAATGTCAGTTACAAAGTATAGAAAGGAATGGGCTCAGAGATATCTACTCTACATTCTGAGAAAGTCTACAATGCCTTCAGTGGACTAATAAATAAGGGAAATGACAGTACAGATCATAGGCATGCTCTGAATTGAAGATTCCAAGATATTTAACCTAATAAACTTTTAACTCATTGTTTCTTTCAAGTTCTACCATTGCATATACATTTGAGTACATAGATTTTATTATTTTACCCCAAATATTGTTAAAGGAATATCTTCCTAATTAACACTCTTCTCATTATTTTCTTCAGTTCCTATATACGCCTGTATAGTTTTTTTCTATCTTAAATTATATTAGAATACAACAAAATTAACTATACATATAGATGACAAAGTTAAAGAGCTAGTGTTCTATGTAAATAGATAGAAAAGCAAAACTATATCTGTCAGAAGAAAAAGGATTAAGATTAAATTATAATTTGCTCAGGCAATATGTCAGATTCAATCATTAATAAAATCTCCAAATATTCCTAGTCCTTGATTTTGTACCACTGCTCAATCTAAGGATATTATTACCTTGTAGGCATACAGACCCACACAGCTAGGTCTTCTTCCATGTCTGGGATATAGAACTATATTCTGTATTCAAGGGACAATGACCTCCCTATAGAAAACTCTCTATTTCCCTCACTACAGAAACTGTATTGTATAAGGTTCTGATATGGTAGCAATCTGCTCTTCTCAGGTGAGTCATCAGTAATTTTCTGATAAGCATTCCCAAGGGGAGGAATTGGAGGCCATCTTAGACCACTGGGTTAGTCCAGTAAGAAATCATAGTTACAGTTAAATCAGATAATTAAGGACCCAAGGTATATTATTATTTTCACCTGTTGAAAGGGATTATCCAGTTCCCTCAACACTAGACAGGGATCGCAAACTCAAATGCTTACAGAAGCCAAGCAGGTATAATTGAATAAAGCTTGTTGGTTTAAAGAAGCAGTAGGGAATGGTAGCAAGTATGGAGAATTAGAGACAACATACTCATCTAAAGGGGGCAACTGCCTTTCAGGTCAGTAGCTGTGGGAATTAGAGCCCAACATTATCAGATCTTCTATTTTTCATGAAAAAAATCAGATTTTACGTGAATACTCCTGATGGCTTAATTTGGCAATAAATTTACTTTTTAAAAAAGATTATGTAGCCCATATTCAACTTTTGATCAATACTAATTTGATTAACCAGGTAAAGAAGTTCAACTCTCTCCACCTTTGAACATGAATACATAACCAATTTGACTCCATGCAATCTATCTGATGCTAGAAATATATGCTATAAAGAAATTAACTTATATCAATTGGGTAAGATCTCTTTTTCCTCTAAATAAGTTGTTATGTATGTCCTCTAAATAAATCTTCAGAATGATTGGGCTAGGCAACCTGTAACTACCTTCTTTCCCCTTTATTTCCAATAATTTTTCCTGATGAAAATGCCAGTATTGCAAATGAAGTGTACATTTTTTTCTCAGGTGGTAAGCTCTCCTAAAACTAAGTCAGTGTGCTCTGCAGAGAACTCAGTGGGATTGTTAGACACTAACTAAAAGGTTACTATGCTTCTTTTTGATTTGAGAAAAAATGTCCTATCTCCCTAACCAGGCTTTATCACCTCATTTTATTTTTTATTTTTTTTTATAACCCTCCTTCCACCACTTCACAATAGCTCACAAGCAACAACCCTTCTTTTTTTTTTTTTTTTTTAAGACTGGAGAAAGAAGCTAGACATGTTATTTTTTTATATCCCATCACTACTGATTTTAGTTAAATGAACCATGAGTCAGACAAGAACACCAGGACTGGGTGCCTTTTCCTGAATCTTTTCAAAATCACGACCTTATGATTGATTGTAATACATTCTGTGTCTTCTTAGAAAAAGCAACTATAGTTTCTTAATGGAGCCATCTTTAGATTAAATTATAAAGTTGAAAACTGTACTTTTACCATTCCATCCTCAGCTCCATCTCCACCACCTTTTAATTCCCCTCTTTGCCCACCAAATTTCCAGTCTGGTAGTAATGATAGAAAATAACAATGTGTACCACTTCTTCTGAGAATATTTACACTATAATATGAGACTTTTAATAGGCATTTCTTCTACTGAATGAAATACAGCTCTAAGGTTAAAATATTGGAATATTGGTGAGGAATGGGGAAGCATCAAGGGGTCCTTTCAGAAACACTCCTAAATTAATGCAGCACTTTAAAAATGACTCTGCCTCCATGTGAGTGAGGCTGACCCTGTGATGAGTATCACTATATTTTATATAATATGATATAAAGAGATTTGAATATTCCAGTTCAGTCTACATTTTGCCAACCTCATGCATTCTCTGACATACAAATTCCAAAGTTGAAGAGTTTTTCCCCCTCTCTAGATGAAAAGAAATACACTCCAGGAATTTTTCATAGTGGTTATAAACCTGTCATCCTTTTAAAACTAAAACAATGAAGGAATAATTGGAACAGATGGCAGACCTCAGAGAGAATACATCCATTGGGAATACAGCTGTTGGATAAATTTGTGAGATGTTTCTTCTATGATGAATTGACTCTTTAAGAAAGATCAGCTGCTATTCAGGAAGATCCGTGCATATACATATGTATTTTTTTCAAGTGACTTGTAATAAATCACTTCCAATGTCATTCAGTCCATTTAAGCAACAACAAAAAAAATTGAAGCTAAAATATATTCAGATATAAACAATTCTCCACATACTTCTGGTCTTGCCCTGACTCCCTTAAGGCTTAAAATTCCTTCTCACAGTCAAAGATTGGCAAAGTTGCTCAGTCACAACACAAAATCGAAGACTTTGTTTCTTAGAGACTCTCAGGACAGAAGCTCTGGAAATGTGCCTCCTGAGGGACTTAAAATAAAACTTGAAGAGAACGAGAGCAGTTAAGGCTTAAACAGGTTACCAGGAGGCTGGAAATTACCTTCCTTAGAGACCCACCTTAAACAGAGAACCAATCCCCATCTGCCTGAAATATTTTAGGTATTGTACAGCCTGAAGGCAAAAGGAAAGCATCAGTCAGCATTTACTGAGTACCCACTGTGTATACTGCTATGATTACTGCTGCAATTGTTACCCTATGGATCATTCTCACACTCTTCAAAGCACTTTCACGTACATTAAAGCAAAGCTCTCTTGATTCACTTAATTGTTCACATATTATTGTTAATGGTGCTAATTTTGACACTAACCATTATTCTGGAGTTGTTTAAGCAAGCAGCAATATCTTTTAATTTGGCTGTCAAGAGCCATTTTCTCACCAAAAATCCATACTCTTAATTGATAAGCCACAATCTAACTCCAAAACATTTTGCTCTTCTTTTACACTTGATCTTGAGGGACTGACAATGACTTTAGGAAGTCTTGGGAGGAATGGGGAAAATGACACACGTCACAATATTAATCTTCTGCTCTTCTAACCATGCCCTAGAACATAAGGTATACGGGGGAGGGGGGAGATGACATGGGGGTGAAGGGAGAAACTTTAATGAAAATAACACTAAGAGAGAAGTTAGGAGAATTGAGTTAAATTCTTGGCTCTACCAGCAACTATTACTTTCACCCATATCTTCACATCCTCAATTTCTTCAGTTCTAAAAATAAGTAGACTGGGACTATATGGTTCCTAAGATCTCTTCTGGTTCTAAGATGCCACATTTTTCTATTTGCTACTTTTTTTGCATTTTTCTATTTCCACCAAGAAGAACGTTAAAGTTTACAAACAGAAATAGCTAGAATGTACTATTTTCCTACTAAGTAGAAGAAACACTTACAAAAATCCTTAGTATCCAAGGAGAAATTAGGGAAAGAAATCTTACCATCTTTTTTTTTTTTAATTTCTTCCTTTGCTTTAATTAACATAGGAATCCAGTGTTGGACAAGCTGTGGCTGCAGGACCATGTTGATGCTCTCTAGCCCTAACATAATTAAAAGTTCAAAGGCATTACTAGAAAATAGAGTATAAATAATATCATTAAAGTGCTTGCAAATTTTCTAAACCTAGCTGAATGTTGTTTAAATTATTCAAAACCTACTCATAAGAATATCTTAACAGGTGTATTAGTCAGTATGGACAAATTACTATAACCAACATCTGCAGATTTTTAGTGGCCAACACAAAACATACTTATTTCTTGAACTTGTCAGGGTCCAACAGTGGGTTGAAACAGAGATTCTGCTTCATGCAGTCATCCTGGGACCCAATCCCTTTCTAACTGGTGGTTCCAGTATTCCTAGTGACTTAAAATCCTTTCCCCCATGCTGAGTATTTGAGGAAAGAGAGGGAAAGAGTAGAGGATCATGTTGGGAGGATTTATGAGATAGGACTGGAAATAGTCATACATCGCTTTAGCTCCCAATGGCTAGCAATTGGTCAATCACCACAATGAATTGTAAAGGAGACTAGGAAATGTCTAGCTACTCCCATAGGAAGAAGAGGAAATGGTACTGGTGATCATTTAGCCAGGCTGTCAAAATATTAGACATCCAAAAACCTAGAAAAAGTGGAATCTAAACAATGAAATTCCCTAATGTGGGAAAAGATTCATAAAAAACTCATCAGAAGCAGCGGGATGTCATGGAATTCCCAGCTCAGCTTTTCCTTGTTTAAAAGGAACAGACAGTGTGGCTAAGAGTTAATCTCAACACGTCAGCCTTTTGCTGTCCAATTATTTAGGTCCTTCAAAATATAGGATTGCCCTTTGCTAGTCAACTTATGGATTGGGGTTTTCCAACAGCCATAAAGTAGTTACCCCTAAGACAGTAATCCTTCTTCACATCTTCTTCAGCCTTTGGGTGACCCATATCCAAATTACCTCACTTACAGGCTCTCCTTACCGGGATAAAATTACTATTGCTATTCTTCAATTACAAGAAGAGGGGAAACTGCATATGATGAAAGAGAAATGGTGGCGGGGAAATGGCTGCCCTGAGGAAGACAACAAAGAGGCCAGTGCTCTGGGAGTAGAAAATATTGGGGGTATCTTCATTGTTCTGGCTGCTGGACTGGTCCTTTCTGTATTTGTAGCCATTGGAGAATTTATATACAAATCACGGAAAAACAACGATATTGAGCAGGTGAGTCATCTCTTTCTAGGACCGGGTGGTTTTTGGTTTGTGTTATCTGTCTTAAGTTTGGGGGTTTAAAGGATGCTTGCCCTTTTTTTTGTAACACTCTATTGAACTAGATGCCCAGAATGGCCATTTTTGAGTTAGAGCTAAGAGCTATTGAATCCCTGCCAGGTGCTGCTGGTACTGTAGCCCCATCATTTATTAATGAGAAGAAGGAAGCACCTTATACACTAAATTCAATTATCACTATTTGGAATGACAGTGCAAAAATTCCAAACTCAGTTAATTTCTTTAACAGTTATTTACCCTTAAGATAGAAACCCTAGATAGAGCAAGGAAGAAGTAAATCCAAAATTGGAAAATATATAAAAAGATCTTTGAGAGAAATGTTACATCTCCTAAGTGTAGGTACTGAGCACATGTACTAATGCAAAGCAATTTATATAAAGATATAAATGTAATATTTTGAAACTGAGCATTTACCTCTATCAAAGTACATTTTGTAAAAGAATAATTCACAAAAATATTTGCCAGAAAAATGATGAACAGTACAGAATGATGATAAAATATATTAAAGAGTCTATTTTTCCAAATTTTAGGATTATCGTTGATTTCAACAGTCAACCATTTTTTGCATGTTACTTTTAGTTTTGATGAAAATCACATCAAGAGCTTACACTATTCTGAATAAGATGACGGTGATTAAAGATAATTCCTTCATAGGCATATGAGAATAAACAAAACACAAAGCTCATGCCCATTGTAGAGTATTTGGTTACCCAATCAATTTAAAAGTATTGTTAGAATTTTGAAACTACAAACAATTAATAACAGGCCTACTTTAATGCTCAGCTATCAATGTCTTAAAATTCTTAATAATTTTAGAACAAGGGGCTCTACATTTCCATTTTGTTCTGGACCCCACAAATAAGGTAACCAGTTTTCATTAATAATCTCATACGAGTCCCACTTCCTTTAAGTGGAAACTCTCCTTAAGTTCCCAGAGATGGGGATGATTGATTATAACCTGGCTTCATCCTGAAATTTTTCCCAAAATTACAAGGCAATTGTGAGAACATTAAGCACCATTTTCAGAGACCTTGTTAGAGAAAACTGTCTAATTAAAAGGGAGAATGGACTGATCTGCTTTAACTTTCGATTTGCTCTTGAGGTGTCTTGTTTTATGCAAATAATTTGAAAATTAAAAGCTTGTATATGTTATGCTTTAATGTGCTTCTCATAATTGCCAGCTTCATTTGATTTAAATTTTCATTTAAATGCCCATTTTTGCTTCTGATTTATTCATTTTTTCTATATTTTTCTCATTTCTTTTGCATGCAAGGCTTTTTGTTTCTTTTATGGACTGCAGTGTAAGCAAACCCATCCAACCAACTCCACTTCCGGAACCACTTTATCTACGGATTTAGAATGTGGCAAATTAATTCGAGAGGAGAGAGGGATTCGGACACAGTCCTCAATTCACACTGTGTAATCATTAAAAAAAAAAAAAGTTGTGCCAAGTAGAAACTGCTTCTGCTAATTGGTGGTGTTGATGATGTCTGTATCTACTAAGCATACATAGCCATAATCCCTATCCTTGTTTTAAGATAGCAAAACTCATGTACTCTGAACATTGAATTCAATGCACTGGAGACACATGTGCATTTTATATTGAAACAGCAGCATATTAGGCGTATACAGATTCCAAGATATGTGTATTTACAGGAATTGTCTATACCATCAAGAGAATGGTTATCTTAGTTGTATTTTCATGTATTAAAAATAAGCAACTCTTGCCTCATGCAAAAGTAGATTCAGACTTTCAACAGTGCAAAGCATGAAAACAAAACGATATTTGGAGGAATTCTTTTCATCTTTGTGAACCTTTTTTTCTCCTCTTTTCTTCTCCCTGTACCATACACTCTGTAGATCCACACTTTCCAAGTACCCAAAGCCCCATCTTTTTATAATAACTCCTTAACAATGTTAATTTTTCATTCAAATTGAGTCTACTATTTGAAATGTACTATTTACACTGAGATTCCAAGAAGTCTTAGATTTTAAAGATTCAAAAAAGTGACCCAGAAAATGAAAACTAAACTTGAAACCTCTGGTGTCATGGAAGAAGAGCATTAGCTAAGGTGAACGTCACTCAGGAAGACACAACAGAGTCAAAAATGATCCCTGCAGAGAAATTCATTACCATCAAGCTCTCAAGTAACATTTACTTGTAGAGCTTAACAATCTTCTGTAGGTTCAGATAGGTAGTATGCTCAGAATCTTTAAGGAACTGTGATTTTTTTTCAAGTTATAGATTATATTTTGCAAGCTCCAAGCACAGTCTTAAGGTAGAAATTAATGCCTAGCATCTTCTATTTTCCACTCACTTGCCCTCATTCTTTGCACTGAAGAACATCTTTTCACAAGATGTTATTTCATTCCTGTCCTAAGAGAGTGGTTGTTTTTGTAGCAACGTTTTCTGAGCCTCGACACTTTCACACTCATTCCTCTGGATCCTTTGCCATTTTCAATTAATTCCAAGTATGCTGGGGAGAAGGACAAGGAGGAAAAAGTTAATAGACGAAAGAATTTCCACACACATTAGTTACGGATCTTTGTAGATTTATTTCCCACCTGCATTCAAAATGCTGTAAATAATTTTCACTCTAACTGAGTTTGTGACATAGAAAGCCAACTACATACTTAATTTGTTGTGACAGGATGTCTGCTGTCCCTCTGAGCTCTTTCCCTCTTCACAGTGAATAGGGGAATTGAAGATGCCCTTCATCTTCCCTCAATATGGGATAAATTGATCTTTGTTCTCCTTAATGGGGTTACCTTTTGACATGTGAAGTGATCCCCAAAAATATATTTCTCAGAAGTAGAGATAGGCCATCTGTGCAATCATGTAGCATTTTGCCTTCTCTTTGCTTAGCTTTAAATGGGTTCCAATTTCTGAATCACGAGTCTCTTCAATCAACTCTAGATTTCTCCAGTAAAACATGTTCAGGAGAGTTGACTCTTGCCCTGATTGTTTCTCAGTCTTGGTTTCTTCTTTAAATAAATATACTTTTAAGGAAATGTCTATAAATTACACTGACATTTATTAGCTGTTATTGGGGTAAAAGCAACATACCATTTGCCCTAGATCAGAGTTCACATCCTCATAATCAAAAACATCAGATGGGGCTTCCCTGGTGGCACAGTGGTTGAGAGTCCGCCTGACAATGCAGGGGACACGGGTTCGTGCCCCGGTCTGGGAAGATATCACATGCCGCGGAGCGGCTGGGCCCGTGAGCCTTGACCGCTGAGCCTGCATGTCCGGAGCCTGTGCCCTGCAATGGGAGAGGCCACAACAGTGAGAGGCCCACGTACCACAAAAAAAAAACAAAAAACAAAACAAAACCCATCAGATGTTGAAATAAATATTACATAATTCATTGATTCTATATATAGAAACCACAAGTTACATAAATTTATATTCCCAAGGACTCTTTAATAAATCAAAAATGCTACCCAAAAAGTTCAATGGTGATTGATGAGGTATAGATGATGAGGGTTAATGGTAACAAAACTTGTCTTTCTATAGAGAGTATCCTTTAAAAGTGTCATTCAGAGGTTTGGATAAAATTAATATTTATGGACTACTTTAAACTGTATACTACCTAATTCTGATAGTTACATATTATTTTATGGTTTCAAAGTGTTTTAACATACAGTACAGTAAGTCCCCTACATACGAACCTTCAATTTGAGAACTTTCAAAGATGCAAACGTGCGTTCTCATGTCCAGTCATGTAAGTTAACTCCCGTATCCGGCGTACATTGTCACGTGCATACATTCTCTACAAGTGGTTGTGCTTTTGTGGACTTTGCTGTACAGTACTGTATAGAGTACAGTAGTATAGTGTCTTTATTTCCAGCCCAGGATGTCCAGAAGCAAGCATAAAAGCAGCGGTGATGTAGTTGGTACTACTGTACTTTTCAAGGTACTGTACTGTAAGATTAAAAACGTTTATTTTCTGTGTTTGTTTGTTTTTTATGTATTATTTGTGTGAAAAGTAAACCTATTACAGTACAGTACTATATAGCCGATTGGATACATAGGCTAACTTTTTTGGACTTATGAACAAATTGGACTTATGAACACGATCTCGGAAGGAACTCCTTTGTATGTAGGGGACTTACTGTATTACATTTAATCCTTTCCACAATTTTATTTCAGCCTTACTAACAGGTGACTCCAAAATAGATATCAGAGTCAATGACCCAGAGTCCTAGACTTAGAATCAAAAGAGAATTTTCTAAATCAGCCAAATTTAGGTACAAGTTCTAGTGGAGTCACTTGCTGAATGTCTGTAGACAAATAACTGAATTTCTCAGAGCCTTAGTTTTTTAATATGTAATAGGGGGATATAGTTTCTAGGTCATAAGGTTGTGTTGAAGGAGTATTTTTCAAACTGGTTTTCATTGGCAAGTGTTACTCAAATAAGATTTTGGGCTTCCCTGGTGGCGCAGTGGTTGAGAGTCTGCCTGCCGATGCAGGGGACACGGGTTTGTGCCCCCGTCCGGGAGGATCCCACATGCCGCCGAGCGGCTGGGCCCGTGAGCCATGGCCGCTGAGCCTGCGCGTCCGGAGCCTGTGCTGCGCAGCGGGAGAGGCCACAGAAGTGAGAGGCCCGTGTACCGCAAAAAAAATAAAATAAAATAAGATTTTCATGGTCGAGTAACCCATGGAGCACCAGGACAAACGCCCCTTTACTGCATGACATTTCAGTATGTTTAATATGTTACAATACATTGAGAATTTTCAACAAGAAGGAAAAGTATCCAGTACTTCCCAAACCTGTTAGATCACAGAATGTTTTTTCCTCCAAAGCATATGACAGACCAATTTTCTACAGGGAACACTTGTATGATAATGTGTATCTTATCCAGTGATAATGAACAAAACACCTAATACCATTCCTAGCACAGAGTTGCCATTCAATAAACAATAACATTTATTATCGGGGATTTTTTTTTCTGAAACTTCTCTGAACCTCAATTTCCTCATTTGAAAAATGAAGGTAATATACTGACTTACATTTGCTTTGATAATTAAATAAAATAATGGCATAGAAAATTAAATCATTTATAAGAGGCCTGTTAATAAATATTGGTTAACAGACGTTAGTTCCTTATAGAGAAATTAAGTATTGCTCTCTGGTAACATGAGCAATAAATACAATTTATCACATACCTTAAAAGAGAGTAGGTTTGGAAAACAGGTTTTTCAATTTAGAGGTTCAAACTATCTCTAAGACCATTTTCCCTCTCACAAGCATTAAAAATCAATGGCAAGTTCATTGCACCCAAGGGAAGGATCCAAAATGGCAATTTATGAAGACATACAGTGGAAGGTATGAACCTCAACTCTAGAAATTTTAATTTCATTCATCTGGAGTGGGGGCAGAACAATAGCAGTTTTTAAGGTACTCTGTTGATTCTAGTGGGTAGTAATGACCTAAAGCATACTCTTCTGTGTATAATTGACACTCAATAAGTTGTTGCTATTTACTGATTGATTCTAGAGGCAGGATCATTAATTTCAAGCAAGATATACAGCATATATTTAGCATCAAATATTTAATAAACCCTCTCTAAGGAGAATTCAAGAAGAATCTGTGAACATCTTTGAGATGGAAATGTCATTATATTCAATTGATAATCTTCCTGTTCAGCCATAAGTGGTAGGTCTACTCAAGATACTCAAGTAGGTAGTTTTCTGCTCTCTCTCTGTGCTTTCTTCCTCCCTTGAGAAATCCGCCATTCATTTCAGACCCTGAGTTTCTTATACTTTCCTCTTTCTCCTTTTATATAATATATGCTCTCAGACAACCAATTCTTGCCATCAAGTAAATGACCACTAAGACCACAGTGACCCCAAGAGGAGCCATTACACTTTAAGTGAATTTAGGGAAAAAAAACGTCTTGAACATAAAAGAAAAAATTTCAAACTCTATTTTTTTATGTCACTGGTTTTTGGACTTCAGTGTACATCTGAATTACCTGGGGAAATTATTTAAAATACAGATTATTGGCTGTAACTCCAGAGGTCCCTCCTCAGTAAGTGTAGTCCAGGAATTGGAATTTTTAACTAAACCTGAAAATGAATGCTTAAAACTAGTTGTGCACATTGATTTGCATAAAAATTAGCTTAAATATAGCAGGTTTTTTTTTCTAAAATTAGGTCATGTACATGACTTTTCATTAAAATTATCTTCAATACAGGGTTTTTTTAAAATAGTTTTTCTTACATGAGTTTTCTCCCAACAATCCTAAATACCATTGTTTTACTGAAAAGTAGTTGGTATGCATGAGTTTTTATTAAAATTAACTTGAATACAGCAGTGTGACTTCAAATTAGGTGGTAAGTGTGAGTTTTTATTAACACTGGCAGATTATCTGTGGATTATACTCTGAGAAATATTGTTTAAATTTAGGAAGAGAGCAGAGAGGTATGAAAAGATTGAAAAATACATCAACAACTATGGAGCATGCAATGTCTAATTTGTTTCTTAACAATGCTGTATAACCTAATGTAGTAAGGGAAAAACTAAAGCTTATTTTGTTTTAGACTAAAATTATAAATTGAATTATTTTAAAGTTTTTCCAGCAAAATTAGAACTACCTAAAGAATACATGTTGGATAGAGATTGTGCCCTTAGGAAAATCAACTGGATTATATAATTATAAACCTATCCAAGGAAAATTATTTCTAAATACCTCACTGCATTTGCCTAGCACTATATTATTTTCTATATGAGCCATCTGTGGCAAAGCAGAAAAATAATGAAAAACTAATCCCAATTAGTTTCAAAGCCCATGACCCTTATACTCTAAGGTCTACTTCCTAGTAAGCAATTTAAAAGTAGCCTGAACAGCCTTGAAAAGCAAAAGGAAAGCAAAGCATTCTTACT